TATGAAACAAAGAACCTTCTCACAAATTGAGCATTGTGTTTTCAATTGTTTTGCTGTAGTGTGTAATGATGTGTATAGTGTTTATATTTTTGAAAGCTTCGAGCTGCTCTTTTGGTGTGAAAGTTTGAGTTTTGAAGTGAGAAGGTGTGGTTGTGTTTATGTAGCTTTAGAAAAGGGTGTTGTGTTTAGACATTGGGGAACATGGAGGAAACGTTTGTGAAATGTGTTTTAGCATTTGAGAAAAACTGTAATATTTGTTTGAATATAAAAGAAGTGTCCACCCATTACAGAAATATTTAATCATTGTCTGGTGTCTTCAAGTGACTTTAGGCACATGAAAACTGTGTAGGCTAGCTAATGCTCTGATCAATAAGCCAAGGAACAAAAATACAGACATAGGTAGCCAACAGAATCTCAAGAACCTATTGTCAAACCTAGCCCCAGTGAACTTTTGTTATTTAATCTATGGTTCAGAAGCTGTAGCAAGTTTTGTGTCTTCATGTTGCCTCGGGTTTTGTCTGAAGCACAGACAGCATGAGCTGTTTCTGTCGCAACACCTAATATGGGGTTTGTAATGGGTGTATTACACAATAAATGTGGAACATTTAAAAAATGCAGTTTATTGTTTAGTTTCATTTTATACACATTGATGTGAGTTTCCACAAGCAAGCAGAAAGTGTATGTGTTAGCAAAGAAATTGTGTAGAACATATTTTGTTATTTCACTTACACATACACACAACAAAAAAAAATCTAAATTTTTCTTGATTTTCAAACAAGACTGAAAGTTTTGGACAGGCATGTGTTTTACTCTAAGAGGGTTAGGAATTGGACTGGGATGTGCATCACCCTTGCTCTTACACTACGCCTTCTTTAGTTCTTCTCTTTCTGTAGATCATCCATAGGTATACCAGTGCAATGAAGAGGACGATGCTGAAGAGGAAGAGGATGCCAGCCCGGGGCCCTGAGGGCAGAGTCTTCATCAGTCTAAGGCTCTCTGCTGGTACCATATTGGTCAGACTCAGCATGTATCCCAAAGACCAGCCCACAGATGCTCCTGCTGCCTGCAAAAGACAGCAGGGAAAGCCCATTGGAAACACAGCACACCACAGACAAAGCTGGTCTGACTCAAGAAGCAGTGTTGCAAAGGGCAAATACTATGAACACACAGATTGAAATCCTAATTAACAAAAATGTTCAGTTTATTTCCTTCACTCCTCACCCTTTTTTCAAAAAAGATGGAAGGAAGGGAATGCTCATCAAAACCATATCCCTGCATTAAGAGAACCTGGATGAAATTGGATACGGCGCAGATGTTCTTCAAGTATTTCACTTGCTGGTTTGTCTTTTTAGTGATCTGTCAGTGGAAATAAAGTAGGTTAAGCTTTTTATTTTGTTATTCAAATCTTACATTCAGTATCAAATAACATACAGATTTTTGATTTGGTGGTTTAAAACATAAATATACAGTATATGAGAATCCTTATTTATTAGGCACTAGGCTCAGAAACCTCATGGCCCTCTTGGGGATAAATGGGTTAAGCCAATGGAGGGATAGATAGATAGAGTGAACTGTTTGAGCTGTGTGCTCAAGAGCACCTCAGAGATGGTCATGTTGCAGACAATTCGGATAGCCTTCTCCATGCTACTGGGGGAGGTGATGGGGATGTTGGTGAGGGTGTTGATGTACCTGTGAGTGAAGTAGAAGGCAGAAAATGCCTGTGGACACCAGGGGACACATAGTTAATCCAGAGTCAAACATGCCTCCCCATTTATTTTTTACATTACATTGCATTCATTTAGCAGACACAAAGTGATTTACAATAAGTGCATTCAAACTCAAAAGGAACAAGAACTAGATGTATTCAAAAACTAAAGTGCACCCATCCCATATAAAGAGTGTGTTAGAGAGCTGTGTGTGAGAGCCCAAGTGTAGGACATGACCCATGGTTTGGTTCCCATCACTGCCATGTAGTCCAGCACCAGGGCCATAAAGGGAGCCTATGGTGTGGTGGAACTTTGAGAGGTTAAACACCAGATGGGCAATAGAAGTGTGGACTAGCTGCACAAAGCTGATGGCAGATATAGTGGCTCTAGTGAGGAGGGAACTGCAGTTGTCTAGGTAGGAGATTATAAGAACATGGATAAGAGTGGCTCATTCTGATACTGTACCGCAGGAATTGGCAGGAGATGCTACAGCCATGTTTAGCGAGAATGGCTGTTCATCATCCAGGCTACTTAATGTCCAGGTTGGCACCACCACACTACTGTTAAATGTGAAGGACATAAATAAATGGTTAAGTGGTTTACATTCATTTCTGTAATTTTTGACAGAGGACTATAGAGGTGCATACATGCAGGTACACAGGTATACAAAATCTGGACAGGGCGATTTACAGTAGCACCGAACAGATGGTGCTACTGTGCTACAGGTGATCCGATAATGGCACTGGATGAAACACTGAGGATCACCAAAGTTATTCCAATTCATCCTGAGGGAACATGAATGGCTTTAAAATTTTTGCAAACCACCCAAATAGCTGTTAAGTTGGTGCAGTCTGGGCAAAGTGGTGGCCTGACCAAATGATACAATACTAGCATAGCTAACGATGGCTAGAGATACATGCCAGTTTTCAGTTTGCAGAACAAGGCTGCAGTAAACATTTTGCAGTCTCTTCTGAGACCTGTGTGCAGAATTTTGTTCCCTGATTTTTGACTATAAGGCAGTGCCTCCTCCCAGGCTATGGCACCAATTCTAGTAAAAAGTCTCACAAAGAAAATCTTGCAGAATATCAATCCCTTCCACTGCCGTTATTTCATGACCCACAAGTTTCACAAAGTATAAATGGATGGAAGCTACTGTGTACTCATCACAACATCACTGCTTGGTAAAAAGGATTGTGGAAGGACAGTAACAGAGGGAAGAATTTTTAAAAGTTTCATTGGACATATTCTTGAGCTTAATAATTTCAAAAATTGTCAAGAAGGGCATACAATCTCAGCTTTACCACACTGTGACTTAAAGTTGTACAATTGAAGGCTATATTGTATATGACTAGAAAGGACACTCTTTATCAATGTTATAGTTTAGTCCCCCTCACCAGGAGGGTGAGGGAGAACTGCAGTAGGACTCAAGACTGCTGACCCAGGTGCTAGTAAAAAATGGTGGGGATACAAAAGGAATAGAGTCAATGAAGACAAACAACAGGGCTGAGGAGAACAAGACGACCAAGGGGGTAGACAGGCTAAAAGCAGGAATCAGGAGAGGAGGAGGATCAGAACAGACAGGGGAACAGACAAGCCGACCAGGAGGGTATGTCATGGCCGCCCGGCAGGCCGGGGCCCCCCCCC